TTTACTGTATTTTTGATCAAATAAATGCAGCCTTGGTGAGCATATAAGAGGCTTCTTTCAAATCCTTTAAAAAAACCTTAATTATTCCAAACTTTTGATCGGTAGTGTATGAACTTATGGAAACCATAACAATGAGAGAGAATCAACACACCTTGCAGTGACCCCTCTCAGAGGCCAAGTGCATAGGTGTCTGTCCGAGCCTCTCCACTGCATCCACATCTGCCCCATAGTGCAGCAACAGTTTGGCAGCCTCAACATTGTCCCTGAGTGTTGAGTAGTGCAGTGGTGTCATTTTGAGGTTGTCCCTGTCCTCAAGTCCTGCTCCATTCAGAATCAACAAGTGCACCACAGCCCTGGAGCCACTGCGGGCAGCCAGATGCAGCGGAGACGCCACATCTCCATCCCTGACATCAACCTTGGCCCCTCCTGTTAACAGCAGCTGGAGGATCTATGGGGAAGGAGAGTAAAAGAAAGATCAAATGGTGCTAAAGGAGACAGGAACAGTACACTGCCCTTCACCCACACAAATGCCATCTGTTTCACAGTGCGCAGTTGGCGTGACTCTGACAGAACACAGCCAAGAGGGCAGCGAGACCTTGAATTCACAGTCTTGGCAAATTCAAGCTATGCTATGCGGAAACAAATGCATTGAGGTGTTTATAGGACACTTCATGTATACAGATTTTTTTTTAGAGAGAACAATTATCAGAGACTGAGTGATCACATGATCAGTGCTGCATAAAACATTGGATAGCATAACATTATTTAATCACTATTGTTTTAAAGTATCTAACATGTTACACTGCCAGATTTATGTATCATTTTACGTCATCAAGTCGCATTTAATACAGCGTCTCACTAGCCAATATTCCAGCCACAAACTTAATTTACACCGTCTATGGCGCTTTTAAAGATTTCCCTGAAAACAGTTGGTAGATGTGACGTGTTGTCCATTTGTTATGGGCAACAGTGGTATTTTCAATTATATGTGTCTGTAAATATTCTATATTAAATTAACAAACAGTAGTAATTTTTAACTGAAAAAAGTAGCTCATAATTAAGGTGGCACCACCCATAAATTGTTCACTGACCACACTGTCAGTGAACCAACTTAACAATACTCTAATTTTTTAAGGCCAAATTGATT